CCCACCGTTCGCGTTATCTTAAGGAACGATAATTAATTTCTTTCCGTCTTACCTTAATTAATAACGTCGTGCCCGAAGTCGACGACCCCGAGTCGTAATGAAAATTTACAGAGTCGCGCCGAGAGAACGGCTCTCCCTGTTCCGCGGAACAAGTTATCGTTTTCCAAGGGCGGCGGGGCCAGGCTTCCGAAAAATTAGCGGAAACAACGAGGGAAGCGGTTGATTCGATTATCAATTACGTTCTCCCGACTACCCTCGGTTAGCTCGTGCCTCCTGCCTGCAACTAATTAGTTCTGCCGTCTCTCGACCCCTCCCTAGCCAAGTTCTCGCGACTCCGTTGCAACCGGCGAATCCGCCGCGAATATTATGATCGATGGCCCGGCCCCCGCTGCAATCCCAGAACACACCTCGCGCATAATTGGGTTCCCCAAGTAATTTCTTCCCGTTGTCCAATGGAAATTCGAAAACATCGGCTCTCCGGCGGGCAGCGAGACTCGATCTCGAACGTGTTCGCCGTTCAATTCGAATCGAAACTTTCGCCGGACACGCGAACAGGGCCAGCTGCTCGCCGGAAACCTCCCCGTAAACGGGCGCTCGCGCAACGATGAAATGTTTATTCCCGTGACAAACGATTTCCCAATGAAATTTGCATCCGTGCCAACCGATGCGCGGCTAATGGAAAACATGCGCGCGAAATTGGACCCGCGAACCCGTTATTCCCCGTTTTCACGGATTACTCACGCTCGTTTTCCTCCGGCCGGCAAATGAATATTTAAACAACCGCCGATCGACGATTCCTTATTTTCGAAATACTGACGAGCCGCGGCCTGTTACCGCTTTTACGCGCGATTGCGACGCTTTCGCCTTTTTATTCTGTTTCACGAAATTAATAATGCAGGGACCGAAACGGTTAATAACAATTTCATTGTCTAGAGCATCCCGAACGCTCTTTCCGACTTGTTCCAATACTCCCGGCTTTTCGGTCGGTCAGAAAAAATTCGATCGAACGTTTTTATGTTTCTTAGGAGCGTTTGCACTGTCTCTGCTACAAGGTAGTGGAGCCGGTTAATACGAATAAGGCACGTGAAATTTTTTTGTTCTTATGATTTGTCTATCTCTTTGAACGAACTTATTCTTTTATTTTGTTCATTTTTGAATAAACTTATTCTGCTATTATGTTTATTTTTGAATAAGTTTATTCTTATATTTCGTTTATATTTTAAGAAACTTATTTTATCTTATTTTGCTTACTTTCGAATAAAAAGATTAATATGTCTTGTTCGATACATACATATAAAATTAATTATGCCCGGCAATAAAGCAAAGGCACAGCGATCGCTACCCCAATCATAAATTTGAACAATTACTCCCGGAAATAGCCGCTACTGAACCTCGCAAAGTGTCGAAAAACTTGGTTTCTGAAGGAATTAAAATTTCATAGTAATTACAGCGTTAATGAAAAGCTTGATTAAAGAGACACGAACGATCACAGAAACGTGAATAGTACGAGTAATGGGATCCTGAATGAGGATAGGGGATGAAATGAAGTAGCCGTTCCTGTGAAATTGAATAGTAAATCGTTTATTAGTACGAAGGTGTGATAGTGTCTCGAGTTAGCCTTGGCCGACATTCGTGATTAGAGTGAACCTGTGATACCATAAGGTGAACGAGTGTGATAGACATCTTCCTCCTCCTTTAATGTTATTTTTTTGTCGTTTTAGTATCTTCTTCTTAAGTGATGTAAGAGATAGATGTTAGAGCTAGTTACCCTGTTCTGCGAGCTGGTGTTCTCCCCATCGATCGGGCCGATTTCACGTGCTCTTTACGATCACGTTAACGATTCACCGGCTTATCCTACCTTCTCCCCCTTAGAGACGATCGATCTTTTCACCCTTTCTCTCCACCCGGCTTGTTCACCCTTCGATTCACCCGGTCCTCACCCCTCTATCATCTCACGGTCAGATTGCGACGCGGCACGATGGAAAAGGAGAACGCCCGTGCAAGCTAACTTTCAAAAGAGTGCTACTTGTTATCTTCCGAGGTACTCTAGTGCCTATGTTTTGCGATTTTTTTTGTTTTCGTTCTGTTCTTCCTTCGGTTTTCTTCTGCCTATATCGCTAAATCGCAGCTAAAATTAGCGAGACTTGTTGTGGGGAGGAACGCGACACCCCCGCTCTCCCGATTTCGAAACTAACAATAAATAAGAAATTCTCGCGACTCGTATACGCGTTCCAATCAGGAAAACGAACCTTCCTCTATTTCTCTCTTTCTCTCTCTCTTTTCTCTTTTGCTTCGTATTTTCCGTTTACCTTCGGGTTTTCTTCACGTGTGTCGGAGCCAACCAAACATTCGCAAGAAGGAACGAAAAGAACGAACGGGAAACGAAACTCTTCGGGTTTCCGCTTCGGTCGCCGCTCGATAATTATAAACATAATAATCATAGTAATAATAATAATAATAATAATAATAATAATAATAACTAATACGTTACACGCGTTCCGCAATTAGCGTCGATATAACAATTGAACGTCCGCGACAAAGTACATGGTAGCGAAATACAGATTGCAGGCTGCCGGGGGATTGCAACGACGTCCCCGTCTCGTTAAATAAGAACAATAATAATAAATTAGGTTCCGTCGTACCTACTGTACACGCGTATCTGTGTATACATATTTATATATGCCGCATATATATAAAAAACGATTCTTGAAAAACGTGTTTGACTAACATGGACGTAAAATCGTACAAAAGCGTTTGTCCTTCCTCTAATTCCGTCGTGCGTTTTCCTCGACATCGTTCTCGAGCCAGCGTTTCCGCGTGCTCTTACCCACTTTCTTTCACTCTTTCTTTCGCTCTCTCTCTCTCTCTCTCTCTCTCTCTCTCTCTCCCTTTATCGCACACTCTCGCCTCTGTCTCTCTCTCGTCTCTCTTTCTCTCGTCTCTCTCCTCTGTCTCTCTCTCCCTCTCTCTCATACCCGCACTCTTTGATTGTACGCGTCTTTGATCATAACGTGACTGGTCGTGCGCTTCTCGTTCCCCGCGATATAAGTACGTGTAACACGATCTACGGTTCACCTTTAGTTTCGCCCGCGAATTCGCCTCCCCTCTCGCACACCCCTGAATCGATAACGCTTCCCACCATTCGCGGAAAACAAGAACGTCTCGGACCGAAATGCTTGATTCGGTCCGCAAGCGGGATTTCAACCGTCGTACAGTTGTACCAAATTTCCTGCAATGTGCATCTTCAATTAGGACGACGAATTTGGCGTTAGCTTCTTATCAAAATTACAATCCACTTTTTAACGTTCGACGAATCGTTGTTTAGCACCGAAGCACTTTGATAAATTGTTGACTCTCGAGTGGACTGTCTCGGCAGTATTTCTCAATTGGAATTTTTCATTAAATCGGACAGATAAGATAGAAAACAGTGGCGGCATCGGAACAATTTATAATGAATTGTCAATAGAGCAAATCATGAATGTTCCGATGCTGCGAAGGAAAATTGATTTTCGTTCACCAATTCGGTGCAAATGAATGTCAAATGTATCTTGCTTTTTGCAATCTTGATGTCCGTTTTAGAAGTCCACTTGGAGATTGAATAAGAAATTCGCGTGGAAACAGGGGCGTCGAGAGAGCAGGTGTCGCGAGCACGTGTCTGTCTAGTGTGTCCCGCTACTACACACCTCATTCCCCGGGTCGTACATATAAAATTATATTTACAACAGAGTGATCATTTTTTTTTGTTCTTTGTCGTGAGGTATTCGCTCTACATGCATCTAAAGAGTGTACAGTACCAAGAAGCGGAAGGGAGGTGGCCCGGTGTGTCCGGAAGAGCCATTTAAGTAATTCAATCGCAATTTCCTTTCTTTCTCTCTCTCTCTCTCTTTCTCTCTTTCATCATTTTCTCAATCGTTCTCTCTCTTTCTCCGTCTAACACTCCGTCGTTCACGTGTATCCGCTGCCTGCGCCATATATCGCGCACTGCCCATTATAAATAATTTAAAAATTATATACTTTGTTTTTATATATATTAAATTCAATCTCTGTTCCCCTCGTCTCATTCACGCGCACATGCACACGAGAAAGTTTCGATAACGATATGGTACAGCTATGCTACACACCGGAGGAATCCGAATGCTTCTCTCATTCTCTCGTTTGCTCTCTTTCTTTCTCTCTCTCCTTTTTATTCTCTCTCTCTCTCTCTCTCTCTTCCTCCCTTCGCTTCCTGCTTTGTATTTACACGGGGTCGCTCGCGAATAGTTCTCTACATTCTTACACTTACAGTATATATAGTATATATATGTATACACACACATATATATACATATATATGTTATATATATAATATATATATATATATATATATATATATATATTTATATAGGTATGGTTGATCTGTTATCGTATGTATATGTATCAGCGCGTGCCTGTACAGCCCGTAGCTGCGGCAAAGCAACTGACTGTTCAAGCTCACTGCCCCCTCCATCGTGCTCAGCACGTGCAGCATTTCCTCCCTAACGTCGCGTTCTCTCCTACTTCCATAATTTGAAGTCGTTTAATGGATACACTAGCGCGGAGACTGACGATTAGACTGCGGATACCTTTATGCACAAAATAAATTCTATGTCAATTGTGAGAAAGAGGGAATAAGTAGAAATTAACCATTTCTTTTAATAATTTTCATAAGTGAAAAAATCTTAAATTCTTCCAGCATCTTCACAAATTTTTATTGCACCTGTTCACTTTTGTCGTAAATATATAAAATCCGCACTCTAGTGACGATACCTGTGTTCTTTATGCTTATCAAGCTGTAACTAATATTTTAGCAAAACAGTACACTGTGCATTACATAAATAAATAAATAAATAAATCCTTTCTTTATAGAGACGTGATTTTACGTTTCTTCTTTGAATAAATTTCTTTCTCGTTTCACTCCGATTTGGTTCAACTTGTAGGCAAAAAGCAGGTTTGTGAATCTGAAATATATAATTAGATTGATGTTCAATATTAAATATTTTTACTTTTTCAAGGTTTATTGTTTACTAACATGTGAATTGTTTCCTGCTTTATGGTTAAGATCACTTAGAGTCAAGCCAATTCACAGTAATTATAATTTATTCCACTTGTCTTTTCGGCAATTTGCCAATGTATAGATCACAGTTTAAAACACAAGTCAAAATTTTCGGAAATGCGAGTGATGCCACTACGATTCCAACCCTCTGATTTGTCGTCAATGCATAAAATCAGCAGTCTAGCCGATCTCCTAGGAATGCGTTAATATTTTACAGCCAATGAGAGCAAAGCAAGAATATCTTTCACTAGTTTCTCCCGTTGTCTCCAGCGGACATTACGGAGGAAAACTGCAACCGGAGGAGGAGAAGCTAACGCCTCGATTCCGACCTTGACCAGTCAGTCGCGCCGTCAGCCAGATGAGAACACTGTTCCTTGATTATCCTTCTCTCCCTTGGTCTGTCTGTTTGTCTGGCAGCGTGATCGAGACGTCTCGCTGGCGGGAAACCGTGCGACTACCAAAAAATTAAGAATCTATGACCGGTCGAGCGTCTATGATCGGGTAACGCCTAGCGAGGAACTAGGTGGGTTATTCTCGCGAACGGTATAAAAGGGCCCAGGATTAGGTATCCTGCGAGGGTATTACTCGTTGTCGCGGCTCTCCGTGGGTAGCTACACTTGGAAAGGCGATCTCGTCAAAAGGAACCGTCTCGCGTATTCAAAGAGAGGTTGACGACGTCGACGACGACGGGTTATCGTTGCTTAATCCGGCGCGATACGCGGCCGGATCGTTGTCTGCAGCCGTGGAGAAGCTTTGAGAATATAGAACGAGCGGGAAAGGGCTCGCAGAAAGAACACTACGCATTCTGTTTGCGAAAGCGGCAAGACTTTGCTGTGTAGCTCAGCCCCTGCTGCAGCAACCCTTCCCCTCTCTCATTCGTTTTTCTCTCCTTTCTCTCTCACACTCTCTTTCTCTCCGTTCTTCTCGAGTCGATGGTTTTTCGTATTCAAACGAGCCGCGACCTCGTGCGAGATTGCAGAAATAGGAGCGGCCCTTTGAGCCGTATGTTCGCGTTCCATATATCCTGCTCCTGCCTGTTACGCTATCCCGTGCGAACGATAATTACCGTTTTGTATAATAATTGACGAAGGAAAAGATTGCGACTCGACACGTGGTGCTTATTATGTGCTAGCTTGTAACTACTAAGGTGCGCTCGCCCGTGTGTCCGTGGGTGTGTCTCTGTGTGTGTGTGTGTTTGTGTTCTGTCCTTCGTGTGCGTACGCGTGTGCGAAGTGTAGCTACAGGGTTAGCTAGCTAGGTGCATGAGAAGACGGTGTTTCAGGCGCTACTTTACGATCCGATCGATGGGCAGTTGGGGACGAAATCACATCTAGCGTGTACTCGTATCAAAGTGTTTGTACGAAACCGGTTGGCAGATTACACTCAGTCGGTGGGCAGTCTTTACGGATTTTCTTATTTAGGATTATTTTGGCAGTGGATCGGTTAACCCTCCTCTCTCTCTCTCTCTCTCTCTCTTTCTCTCTTCCTTTTATTCTCTTCCCTTCTCACTCGCTTGACTCTACGAAATTTAGCATCCCGAATGAAACGCGTGGCAGCTTTTCTCGCTAGGTAGTCGCACGTTTCGCGCGAGACCTCTTTCGTTTCTATCGTTTTTTCTTCTGTTTTAAAATCGTCTCACGCGGGTAGCTCTACTCGTGTATAAATTACAAACTAGAAGGCTAAAAAATCGAAGTACTTGTTTAGCGTCCTTTGGTACCAGCCTGAGTCTCATTGGATTACAAATTATTTTGTTAAATAGTCTTGCTAAATCACTAAGAGATCACTGTTTTTCCGTGAATGTTCATCCCCCGCCCCAAACCCCTGGCTAGTCTGACCATCACGTTCACAGTCTTTCTATTGCTCTGTGCTCATCATCACCCATCCCGTCCCGCCCCGTGATTAAACCCCGAGAGATCGGTCGATTGCGAACGTCCTCTCTCTCTCTCTCTCTCGTCGAACACGAGTGTTATACTAAAATACTATTATCACGCGCAACAATTAGAAACGGAAAGGGAAAATAAAGAACGCAAGCACCTCGCGTACGAAAAATAAAACTCTCTTTCTCGCTTTAATCTCTCTCCTCTCGCTTTCTCTCGTTCACTTTCGCTCTCGTCTACGGTAAAAAAGAAAAAGAAAACAACAAAAAAAAAAGAAAAAACAAACGATCTCTGAAATAAATACGCGAACGTAAACGCGGGATCACTACTTTTCTCGAAAAGTATTATAAGCTTCCATACAGCTTCCTCTTCCCTCGATCTCTTCAGTCACACCGCGGTCACCAAGATCGATCATTAGGACACGATGTAGTCCGCGGAGTGGTGAGAATGATGAGAGTTCCGATGCTTGTCCTTTCTGTGGTTCGTCCTCGAGTTGCTGCTCCGGGTGCCGTTGGTGCCGGTCGTGCCCGACGTGTGATGGCTGTAACCGCTGTCGCTGCCGAAGCTGCTGTCCGGTTGGCCTTGGTACAGCCTGCCGGAGCTGATCTGGTCCCCGTCTCTGGGTCCGTAGTACACCGGTTGCGTGTACTTGTCCTCGTTGTAGAGACGGTCCGTGGGCTGCGAGTAGGTGTCCGAGTACTCGCCGCCCACCTGCGTGTACACGGGAGCGGCGTCCTGGTTCTGGAGACCGTAGTACTCGGCACCGTATTGCGGCGAGTACTTGTACTTGTCCTTGCGGGACCTGTCCTTGTTGCTTCTGCTCTGGCTCGAATAGTGGTGCAGCGGGCCCAGCACCGGCACGCTCTCGTACGGGTTCTCCTCGACCCTCAGGGCCTGGGTGGCTGGCATCGGAGGCACGAAATAGGGTAACCTGTGGGCCACCGATGGGACGGACTGTTGTCGTTGATTGCTATTCGTTCGGGTGCCTGCTACGCCTGAAAAAATTAGCCCCGGTTTAGAGAGACTCTTCTTCAGGGTTCTTCGTTCGTGTTGGCCGATCATTTATCGCGCGCTCACTGCGAAACAAAGGACCCAGTCGATCGAGATGGTTAAAATTGCTCTTGGAGGTTTTTTGATTAATGTTATACCGTTCGATTGCTGACCAAGAAAAACTCATCCGTGCCAACCCACTTCGCCAATCGTAAATGTTGAAACATGGATGAATATTTAGGTATATATCGCAATGTGCACGGCACAATTTTTTCTTTCTCTTGAATCGCATTTTCTAGGTTGAAAAATTGCTTGTTTCAATGTAATAACGTTTTAAATTACTTAATCTATACTTGCAATAAACTCAACAAGTAGTAAACGTCGACAAACATTTTCATTTTTTTTGACGATGTCGCAGTTCAACGAAAAATCTGAGAAAAATTGAGCGCACTGCTTGCGATAGTACCTTATTAGGGAATTAGCTACTGAACGGTGTGTGTGTGTGTGTAATACTCATTAAAGAACTTCTAGGGGTAATTTTCACCATCTTAATCGGCTAGACCCTTTTTGCGAAACAAAAAGACCCTGAACAGTTTTTATATTTATCTACTAAGACATATTAAATTCTTTTATTCTTTTCTTTTATTTATCTTTTAACATTACATTACACATATTAATTTAATGTTAAAAGTCATTAAATTTTCGTATTCTTTTAAACTGTTTATTCTTAAATAACAAAATTTAATACGTCTTATTCGATAAATATAAAGTCAATTATTAATTTAAATATAAAGTAAGCCCGAAAAGAAACGAAAGGCACAGCATCTGGTCATCCACGGTAATCGGTTCCACTACCCTCTTATTTATTCAAGATAAATGAAAACTGTGTCAGTCGAATTCTAATTGTCTCGCGAATAGCGAATGTAAATGCAGTATCGTCTTACCAGCGACGCTAGGATACAGCTGAAGCAAAGCGTCCAGCAGCATCCCCTCGTGGAACTCGCCCATGTCGTGGTTCTTGTCTCTCCTGCGTCTGTCGAGGCTCCTGGGGCTCCTGCCGCGTCTCTCCCTCGGTGGCCTGCCACCTGCCGGACACGTGCCCCAGGTAGGCCCACTGGAGGTGAGCATCCTGGCTTCGGACGGCTCACCTACCGAGAGCTCGTCCTCGGCGAACTCGTCCTCGCTGGCCGGCTTCGAGGTGGATGCCGGCCGATGATGATGCCGATGATGATGGTGCAGCCGGTTCCGAGCGTTCAGCTCGCTCTCCTCGTCCGTTTCCTGATGGTCCCCTGCAACGGATGAATAATTCATAAGCAACCTTGTGCAACGGGTGCGCGCGCGCGCGTGCTCGCGCGTCTGCGACCTATGCCGTAATTAATTAGTCGGCCCGTTAATTAATTAAATGGCAATCTCCTTCTCGCGTCAATGCTACGGAATTCGCCGTGAACGGAATCGAAACGAGCCCGGCGACAACGATTCCCCCGAGTCCCGGCACATAACGATGTACCGCGATTAATTAGTTCCAACCTTCGATAGATTTATTTCAAAATGCAGCGCAAACGCGAGCGGTCGAAAGTAACCGGGGAAAGCGGAGTGTGTTAATCAATCGTCAATCATCGAAATCCAGGATGAAAAACGAGGGTTCTCGTGCTTTTGCGACGACTTTGCGCCGCTTCTTTCTCCCCCGTTGTCATTGCGAATATATTAGCGCCACTTGCTTTGATTTCGTCGCAGCCTTTTGATCGCCGCGATTGATAAACGTCACTCCCGCGAGTCGTTATCCGTCGGGATCATTAACCGATCGCGCGCTGTTGCCGTATCGATTCGATGCTAACGAGAACACTGTCCGATTAATAGGACCACGGGGACCCGTTGCCACCTGGGGTATTGGCCTGCCACTGTTTACATTAGGAGCTACGAAGCCACGCCCACTCGCGGCATTACACACAAAGAAATCGATAGAGACAATCTTTTCGAGCTGTCATGTCATCCGTGACATTGTTGACATTTTTTGTCTGAAGAATACGACGAACGACTCCTAAACCATTTGGACAGAATTTAAGCTCTTTCTCCTGGCTCGAAGCCAAGAGAAATTAAGCCACGCCTATTGGGTGTACTCTATACAAACACATGAAAATAAATAGCCCCTTTTCGCAGTCACGTGCTACTGGATATTATTGATACGTTTTCCAGGAAATTCGGTGGATTACATCCACTCTGTTATAAATAACGTTAATGTTAAATTGTCGAGGATACGGATTGCCCTCTGGGACAAAGTCCCACCGACGACGAAGCTAAGAGCGAGAAAATTGCGCCTACCGGGGGCACTCTACCCTGCGGGAGCAAGAAGGTCGTTTGACTTGACACGATCGAGATTCTCTTTCCCTGACGTTATTTGCTCCAGTGGATAATTAAGCGAGCTCCCCGGACAATCGACGCTTATCATTCGTGCGGATCGTTAAGAAAACATTCTCCGCATACGTTCGAAATCTGGAAATCAGTGTACGTTCTGAATGTTTGAAATCAGAGGATTACAGAGCATTCTTTCCTGGGGATCGATTATCGCACCGTTTCGACGACCGATCGAGGACAAAACGAGCGTGGAACGCGTCGGTCGGTTGCGAAAAATAAAGATGCATTGTTCCGCCCGTCGAACGGGCGTCGTAAAAGCGAGAACGAAGGTCGAGCGGCGATAAAACGAAGGAAGAGGAGAGACGTTTAACGATGGAACAGCCTCGACCGGGAACGGAAGTTTATCGACTGGCTCTAATCGACGTTAAGCTCGCTCTTTGACAATCCCTCGAATCTCCGGCGGCGTCCCATCCTCGCTTCATTCCGCGGGACCTTGTCTGTTTGCAAAAGGAAAAGAAAGTGGAACGAACGCTTGTCTGTTTACCGTGGTTGCACTTTTAATCTCCGCCATTGTGTACCCTTTCTTGTTTATCGCGCCGCGCCGCGCCGCGTCGCGCCGGCACGGGACAGGACTCCCCGGAGGACGCCGAGGTCCTTGGGAACGAATAGGAATTCGTCACCGTGGCGAAATCATTTTAAACGACCGCGAGGTACGTACATGCGCGACGCGGGACTTCGTTCCCCCATTTTTTTTTCTTTAATTAATCCTGTTTTCGCAGCCTCTATAATAAGCGGAGAGCTGCAAGTGCCGGTGAATGTACTTTGGCAAGATTAAAATTTTATCAAGGTGCTACACGGTTTTAATATTCTGCATCAGCTGGCGTAAATGTTTGTCGAGGCAGTAAGCTTCAGCGTGTTTCTGCTTTTTGCCTGTACACTTTTAAAAACGCGAATTTGCATGGAGATCTGCGGCCTGAGCACGGTCGTATGCATCGAGAAAATCTGCCGTGGATCCCATTCGGTTCGTTCTATTTTCCCAGATTTTTCAGTCGTTTTGCAAATTCCAGACACTGTGCAGGAACGTCCTGCGAATTTCCCAATGGATTCATCGTCTTATTTTCCTTCTCTTCGTGCACTATCCCGCGAAGGAACCCCGAGTTTAAAGAACCTAAAGCAAGACGTTCGTAGCAATTTAGCCGCACGATCTAGCGCACACAGGTGCAATTCGTCGCAGACAGTGCTTCGCGGCCTAATCTCGTGCCAAGATGCGAAATTTAGGTGTTTCGCGAATGTCATAGAATCCCAACCACGCTAAATGCGACTAAAGTGGCAATTCCTCGAGGCAGAACCAAGTTCGGCATCCTTCGGAAACACGTTCGCGAAAACATCGACGCCGAGTGAAACTCCCGTGGGACCGCGTCTCGAGTAAAAAGTGGCCAAGTTCTGCGACACTTCCGCGAAAGGTTTTCAGGACCAGGTTGGCTGACGTTAACCAAGACAAATTATGGTCCCGGAGCCAGGTGAACCCGATCCTCTGGCCTCACAATAGTCGTCGCGAGGCATGTGCATTAGATCACCGCGTCCTCCCGTCAAACATCGAAAGTCTCATCACCATGCTAATTAGCCGTCCGGCTAATGGGGAAGTATAAGTCAGAGGTCGTGTCACGCTTATCTCCTTCCAGCAAAGGCAGCGACGGGATGAGCGCGGCGCAAGGTGGAAGGGGGCCAGGCTATCAAGATACCCGCCACGGGAAAGGAGCGAGATACACCGGGAAGAAGATGAACAGCTTCCGATTCCGTTCTGACAGAGATTAGATGCGGGCCCGGCGGCGAACTTCATTGCCGACAGTTCGTCGAATTAATAGGGAGATAAGCGCTCGGGGAGAAAAAAAGAAGCGTCGCGATAGCGGTACCGTTTGCGTGTCTCTTTTTCTCATAAAATCGTGGCGAAAGCGGCGACCCCGGAGACCTCTGCGAAGCGAGAACAAACTTCGGACAGTGCGATCTGGAGAATCTGGTGATCCATTTCCATGCAGGGAGGTCCAGCGGTTAGAAACACGAAAACCACCTGCAGAGCTGCGTGACAGTTTAGAGGGAGGGTTTAGAGGGAGGAGAGCAACAAACTAGCAAGCCGGTGTTAGCCGTGGGTTAACTGCGAAGTCCAGCTCGATGAGCCGCAAGGTCGTCGTGAATTGACGCTTTACCATTTTACGAGAATCGTTGATTTACCATTTCTCGGATGCTTTCACAGCAAACGCGGCAAATAGCAATTACAAAAGTGGTCTGCTTTGTGGGTCTAATGGCAGCCTTGAGAACAGCCAAGAGAGACGCGAGCGAATGCGAGAGGAAATGATGGGAACATATGGGGAGACGTGTCGCATGAAAGCGGAGAAGTGAATGCCAGGGGTGTCCGCTTAGTCCAATGGTGTTTAACGTCTTCTTGGCAGACTTGGGAAAAAGGTTGACAGATGAAAGATGGAGAACGATGATGTGACAAAAAGGTGTTTCACTTAGAGCGGTGCGCGGTTATGTGGCGGCGATGGTGGATGAGCAAATGGCTATCAAGAGAATGATGAAAGGAATATTTGACTGTAGTAAAGTCTGAAGACGACGAAGACAACGACATTCGACGATGGCGGAGTCAGGATGCGGAGGACATTGTGAAGGCAGCAAATAGAATGCGTAGGGTAGTGGAACCGGCTACCGTGGGCTGATCAACACTATATTTATCGAGTAAAATATATTAAATTTTGTTCTATTAAAAAATAAACAAAATAAAAGAGCAAAATATATAGTAAAAATAAATATAAAGTTAACTATTCAAAATGATTTAAAACAAACCAAAGGCACAATAAGCGGCTCCACTATGCTAGGCTCCGTAAAAAGTCAGAGCAATGTCGTTGACGGAAGGAATGAAAGAAATAAGAAGAAGGTCTGCTCTATTATAGAACCATTAGGTCCCAGAAACCGATGAAACAGGCGAGGTAAAGCGTTAATTCATCCGACCGGCAGGCGGCAAGCCTTCCAAGCTTACAGGACCCTACCTACGCTCTCCCTTGGCAGGATCGAGGCTGGGGATCGCGGGTCCGTCCGGCGAGTCCTCAGAGTCGAGTCTCATCTAGAAGGAGACCGGGGTGTGATTTCAGCGCGATCGAAATGTTTCTCTCTCTCTCCCTCCCTCCCGAGAAAGAGAGAGAGAGAGAGAGAGAGCCCCGAGAATCTCCGTGGAAACGGTTCCACGGCGAAGAGAGTGTTGATAGCGCGAAGGATTGTTCGCGTGGCCGTCGACGCTGCGAATGAGATTACTCACCGTTGCTGAGCTCCTCGTAGACGGGATTGTAGAGGTCCTGGGACGTGTAGGGATCGGGGCCGGGGCTGCTGCACACGAACACGCCTCTGCCGGTTTCCTTGACGTCCAGCATCTGTTGCGACAATGAGAAATCGTTAGTCGGCCTCAATATTTTTCGCGGAACCGCTGTACGCGATTCCGCTGGTCGATCGGTTTACGGCTATCTCGGGCCGTTGTCGAGGACGGCGATACCTTGCGTCAAGGACCACGTGGTCGCCGCGAAAGGAGCCGCGTTGTCAGCCGAGGCACGATAAAGAATAAAGGAGAAACCCTCGACGCGGTAAACTCGCGACTTAACATCGAGAAGCTCTCTTCTTGTAAACTTACCGAACCCTCTACGCCAAGGATTACTATTTTAGCTTTTTACATACGCTTTTTGTCGTGGATACCTATTTCGAAGCTGATAGAACATTTTATGCAAACATTTCCACCGTTGAATCGGTCGTGGATAGTTATTTTAAGGCTGTTCTAATATGCGCAGCACAGAATTCGAAAGATTTTCATCGTTTCTTAAGCTTTTTAAACCTCTTAACTCTTGAAATAAGCTTCAGCTCGAAAACTCGTACAAAATTCAAGTAATGTAGCTAATAGATTGCTTCATTAGCTTTTCAGAAACCTATGTATTTTATATTGGAGTGGCAGCGACGGTGTAATTCCTATGTTCAAATAATTCACGTGTGGAGCTTTGAAAATCAGTTTACATACAGTGGTCCAGATAAAAAAGTTAGAAAACCAGATTTTCTTATCTCTTTTTGTCAATCCAAGTAATAGGAAAATTAAAAAAAATCATCTAGTAGACTAGCCCCTCTATCACCTAAACAAAATTCAAGTCATTTAGTTGAGTTTTAACAAAGATATTACGTTTCAGAAGGTGTACGAACACTTTTGTGGCCCACTGTACAACTTCTGCTTCTACGTGCGTTTACAACGAGAGCATAATTGCGACTGATTTACACGAACACATTTTACAACAAAAATTAATCTTTAACAAGTTAACTTCCGAATATCAACTCCAAAAATTCCCACAATATCGAAATCAATTAATCAATGAAACCGAAACTAGAAAGTTGAAGATTACCATACGAAATATTACTGTAACTCTTTTGTATTCCATAAATATAAAATTTCAGAACCTAGTTAAAAATTAGGGTAACCCATATGCGTTGGACGCATACTTGTTGTACTTAATGTCTTAAAGTTGACGAGGACAAACTTGGACGAGTTTAGACTGCAATTTTCTTGCAACTTTTTAATATTGTCACGGCGACTTGTCTAAATCAAGTCGCTGTAATGTGAAACTGCCCTGTTGTGAACAACTCCTTAGGAAATAATGGATGCCACGGAATAGTGATACCAACGGACAGTCGAGAGTCGAGATCGGACCGCCGAACGATCAACATTACAAATTCAAAGATCTCTAATATAATTGAATTGTGTTGTATTATATTCTATATTAATTACGAATAAAATGCCGCGACGCGAGAAAAACAGAGAGGTTCGCAACAATAAGAACCCTGCAATGAATGTACGAATAAATAACAGGGAACGGTGTCAGGATCAACCATTCCCTTTCAATCCGAACATTCCAGCAACCCTCTCCCTCGAAAACAAAGTGCCGATGGAAGAAGCAGATGCGAACACGTCTCGGGGAAGTTCGGGTTTGCGCGGCAATAAATACGAATTAGCGAGTGATCCAGGACGAGTTGCGAATCCCGGGGTGCGCTTTCGTCGCGCTTCCGGCCGGGCGATTAACTCGTTCCTCCGCCCTTAAAGACCCTCGAGAACTAGCGATCTCCCTTTGGCCTGGGGCCGAGCCGGAGAAACGCTGACTCGCAGCGAACTACGTGGAAACGAGGGAGTCGAAAGTTAATCCTTAAATCGACGGAGATCCTCGGCTGCCGGGGAATAATAAGGAACGATCCTGACGCGCGATTTACCCGAGGCTAATTTTATTTGCTCGTGACTTCTGCATCTCCATGGAAAGCGAGCTAGTGAGCGAGATAGATAGATAGATAGATAGATAGATAGATAGAGAGAGAGAGAGAGAGAGAGAGAGAAAGAGACAGAGAGAGAGAGAGAGAGAGAAAGAGAGAGAGAGAGAGAGAGAGAGAGAAAGAGAAGGGGGATGGCAAGTGGCTAAACTTCCCGCGGGAAAATCACGGCAGCCCTGCGTGAATCCTGAAAACTCCCAGCTCGTAATTAATTCCCGGAACATCCTCGTCCAGAAGCCGTTGAAAAATTCAACGGACGACAGCAGAAACGGGTACACACAGGAGCAAACGGCGACAAGATTGCCGGGATGATCGATACCATGCGGCACGATTTAACAGTGACTTCCGGTTAACCCAGTTGCGAGAGTCTCGGTTCGCAATGGCCGGTTTCCGGTTTCCGGTTTTCCCCTCTATATTCGCACGCGAGCTCCTCTAAAACGGAGTCATATCGCGTTAGCGGGAACAAATGGCGGACCAACCGCGGATCTCCTCCCCTCGGAGTCCTCTTCTGTTGCAACGAACGACCGGAAATGGTGGAACATCGCAGCCGTTGCTCCCCGAAAGAGAGCTCTTCTCTTTGAGACCTCTGATCATTCCTTTCCCGATATTTTCATGAGGAAGGGAGACGAGTGGCTGAACTGCAGCTTTGCAACATCGACGGCGGAAGGGAACAATAGGGAGGAGAGGCTCGAGTACTTTCCCAAGTACTTCCTAATAAAATTTGATGGGGTTGATTTTTTGCTGCTCTTGACTCGACGCCGGGCACGGGATGTTCCTAGCGATGATCCGGGGCCAGGAGAACGTCGAAATTCAAATTTCGCGTTTGTTCAGTGTCGGGGAAATCTCTGTCAGCGTTTTAGACTGAGTCAGACTTTTAAGAATCTAAATACGTGTGAAACTACTATATTCGTTGTACTTTGGAATAGGCATCTGTAATCTGGTTTTTTTTATCAGATTAACCCGATTAAAGGATTACTGGATTACTCTTCAGCATAGCTTTCTACGCTTGGCCGCCCTACTCATGGTATGTTCGATGGATCGAATCATCGATGGATGTTCGATCGATTACAATTACATGCTGCTACAAAATAAGTTTAATCTCTTATCGCTCGAAAGGAGACGCTTGATAGCTGACATTATTTTTCCTCACGAAATCCTAATGATGTTAGTAATTCATTCGTAACTAGTGAAGATGATACAGATTCTGTGCCTACTGCGAATGTAAATAGCGAAGAGGAATATGACAGTGATAAGAGCAGCGGGGAATTTTTAGACCAAGCAACTCGTGAAGAAGTAGCTGTCGAACCCGAGAATTGCGTTTTGCCAAAGGAGAAGAAAATAAGGTATCCACTATCAGTCAGTGATAGAAGAAGTTCATTTGTATTGATCGGTATTCCAGATAAAACGAAATGAAAGTTGTGAAAAGTTGTGAAAAATCTAAGGAAAATCTTACTTATCAATTTGAATAAAAAGATATCTCGAAATGACCTGTTTACCTTGTGATTTCATCGATCTGACAATTCGTCGATTTGACACCGATTCAGTTCGGGAAGTGAGAAACTGATCAGAGTTAAGAGTCCTGCAACACTATAGGAACATTGTAGATCGTGGTTCGAAAGGCGACTGATCGTTCGCGGTGTCCTTCCAGGAAGCCAGGTAAACGCAAAGCTTTTAACACTTGTTACGCCGATTAATTGCCGAGAAAGCAGGCGATCGAGAGGTCTTGGAGCGATTCGCCGGTCCCGTAACCTCGAATCGGCGGAATCGAGTTACCCCGTTAATCCAGGGAATCAAAAGGGAGCCAAGACAAACGAAACCGAGGCGAGTTTTCCTCCCCTCAGGTATCGGGAGTCTCTCCCGCGGGCGTCTCTATCGGCCACAAAGGAGGATCACTCGATTACTTTTGCCTGGAACGTCGAACCGAGGGTTCTCCTTTCGGCCTTTACGCTTGTCTTCCCGCGTCTCGTCTAATCACGCGCGTCTCGCCCTTTCGCGTTTTCCTTGCTGCCGGCTCTAGTTCCTCCACTGTTGGCAGTCCTCCGACAAGTGTGTAACCGTGTTATCCGTGGCCGCGCGATTGAAATCGGAATCGGGGAACGAGGTAGCAAAACTGATCGCGAGGGTTCTGTTCATATAGGGCACGGTTGCCTGATTGCCGAAAAATCGGCATCATACGCAATTTCAGCGAATATCGGTTCGGAGTTTAATATAAATGCTTAATATCGTGACGAAATTTTCATTTAGTTCTAGGATCCGTCAATTAGTGCGAAGCAATTTATTAACCAATTAGCTGTTGCAGTCTCCTTGAAAAGTGCGTAAGTTACTGTAATTATATTGTACATGTTTGATTTTGTTCATATTTTTTTAAAAATACAACACATTTACAAGGTATATAATTTAATAGAGAATATACAGGATGTCCCAAAATTATGGTATTTCCGGAAAATGAGGAATTCCTGAGGTCATTTGGAGTAACTTACGAGTTATTAACGAAAAACTGCGACCAATGAGAGGCGAGCTCGGCTGGCGCGATGCGGCTGAGCCAACGAGCGGACGAAGCCCAGTTTCGTTCATTGGCTCGGCCGTCTCGCGCCAGCTGATCTCACTTTTCATTGGTTACTGTTTTTCGATAATAACGCGTAAACGAAGCCGCGGATTGTATTTTCGCTAAGGAAAAAGTTACTTCAAATGATCTCAGGGACCCCTCATTTCCCGGAAGTATTTTAGAGCATTATTTTATTATTTTATTTCATTATTTTAGTAATTTTAAGGCACCCTGTATAGTTTTTAACCAGTTAGCTGTTTTTCGCGACGTATACTCGTCATAAAGAGATGACAACACTTTGTGTTACTATACACTCGTAAAAGTGTAAAGTAACAGATTGATGAAAAGACACAGAAATTTAGGCCGGTAGAAATGTTGCACAGCGTCTGAAAAATTGACGATATCCATGTTCGTTCCGATGAAAGAGTAAATACATACACCGACATATACATGCGCGAATATTAATATATCGATTGCGATACGAGTGCTTTAAAATGAATAACCCATTTGATTACGATGACACCAATAACCGTAACG